CAGAAATGCCATCTGAGTTTTCCATCTGGGAAGCAGGAATCCAAGTACTTGGCCGTGATCTGCTGCCTCTGAGGTTCAGTGGCAGGAAGCTGGATTGGAAGTGTGGAGTAGTCTGCTTCTGAACTCCTGTTTTTTAATTCCGTTTTCATGAACTTTTTGCAATACCCTAATATATGTGTGTGTGCATGTGTATATTGTATATGTATATACAAATTTGTTTTCATAGCTTTAAGACTGTATGAAGCATGTAATCAGTATTCAATAATTGTTAGTTATTGTTTTGATTGTTATTGCTGATTTTTTTAAATTATTGTCATCAGTAACAAAATAGACTGGAAAACATTCCATAAATCCATAGTCCTGTTGAGGGTAATAATGCAAGCACGACCAGTCCACTTCCTGTAAACAGTGTTTGATGTGAATTATGCAATGCAGATTCCTTTTTACTTCAAAGAAATTTGAAAAATTTAAGAAAATTGCTTCTTTTAAAGATATTTTACATGATAGAAAACAAAGAAGGAGACCAGCCAAAAATAATGAAGTATAAAAGTGTTAACTGAAGTATTCAATCAGGAAGGTCATTTCTAACAGATCAACTAAAACACAACCAGACTTATCGCTATGCCACTTTAAATCTAAAGCTATAAAAACAAAGAAATAGTTGTTGTCCCACTGGGTTTTTCACTGCAAATTAAACTCTGAAGGGTAGCCTGTATTTCTTCACATTCTCTGTGATGAATTCAGCAGGTCGTACATACTCAGAGATGAGGGAAATGTCTTTAAACTCAGTAGAGCTATCAAATAGTAGGTAATTCTGAAAGAACAAATGTAAGTGTGGCCGTAATATCTCTTTCCTGATATTCTAGATCTATGATTACAACTCTATTTTTCCCATTTTATAAGAAAAAAAAAAACTTTCAAAACTATATGGGCCATGTATCAGAGTCAATTGCTCAACACGATTTACTTTGTGTACTTGTCTGTCCCCTGGGTAAAGTTTCCAGAATTCTGCTTGCTCCAAGGCAGTAAAATTGAGCATCTAAATATGCTGCCCAGTTGCACCAGCAGAATGTTTCCAGTATTGATGTAGTCAGAACGTCACACTGTACGCTTGTGGGCTGATTGTACATAGGATTTCAGAAGTTTTTTGCACCAAAATAAGCTTATTTTTTAAATCAATTTTCTGTGAATTTTTTCAAGTACCTTCTTACAACAACTCCACCCAGTCCTAAAATAGGGCACTGGTTACCTTAAATATAAGGTAGAACCATTGTAAGACAACACACTCAGAGGATGTGTTATTTGCTGGGAAACAAGGAGTATGGATTTAAACCCTGTCCAAATGAGGCCAAATGGAGCTAGATCAGAACAGCTGATCCTGCAGTACCTTATCTTATAAATTAGGTGGGTTTGTGGACTGAGGTGTGTCTGGGGAGTCCCAGTCAGACTGAGTAGACTGAAGATTTTAGAGGGTCCTTAGGATGAATTATATGCAACGAGGAGGGCTGCCTAACTTGTCCTGTGTCTCAGATTAACAAATCTATCCAGATTTCCAGGAGTAAAAATGAAAATAGAGTATTTTGTGTATCACAGGAATCATCTTTATTTTTGCATTCATGTAAAGATGCTGGACACTTTCACACATGTCAAATAAATAATAGGTATGTGAGGCAGAGAGAAAAAAATTCTCTGCTTTACTGCTTACTTTTCTATGAAAAAAATGTTTTAACTTGATTTTCTGGGACTCAAGATTCTGTCAGATCAACTCATCTTAGTCCAACTTCACAAAAGCTTTTTCCAAATGTCATAAACAGCTATTGAATGTATCTAGTAATTTTGCACAGGATTAAATTGAAATAAATGTTTTCTGGGCCATTATGACTTCCCCTGCTTCTTTCTGCTCCCGGTATCTGTTCATTCCTGGAGTGATTCCACCATTAAGACTAAGTCCTGTCACTTGAAATAAATATGAGTTATTTACAAAACCTGCTGCTTTTTAACACATTTCCTAAGGCAACTAACTGGATTGTATGAACTTTATGCAGGTCTTATTGACTTATTTTCTGTGACTCCAGAGTAAGTTAGTGATTATTATTTGAAGGTAACCATTATGCGATCTGAGGTAGTTCTTAAATATGTTTGTGAACTGAAGAAAATGTTATTCAGACAAACTATAATACATGTATTTTAGCCACAAGTTAAGTTCTGAAATTATCTTGGCAGGAGACTTTAAGCCTAATGGCAGGATATAAAATGTTAAGCTTTAGAGTCTGGAACTTGGAAGGAAATTAGATATGGATGTGTTGATGAGATCCACTGTGATAGTAACATTTTAAATGCAAATGTATGTTTAGTTGAACTTCATCTTCTTGGCAACTTGAACTATGATATACCTGCAATCTCAATTAACTGGTCAAATAAGGAGAACATTTGGCTTAGCAATGTATCATTCATCTCCAAACAATAATGATGCAGACAGTTATATTGTGCTCTCAAAATTGAACTTACTCAGCCATATGTTTTATACCCTGAGGGCACACACTCACATGAAAATTTTAAGCTATCACGTACTGATTCTGTTACTCTTCTTGAAAAAGTAGAATTTTGCAAGAGCAGCAAAGAAATAAAATATTGCAGAGGAATTCCTTTGATATCTACCCATTAGATGCCATTATTCATAGGTGAACACGTGTCAAAGCTAGTAGTAAGAACTGTGGTGAGTAGTTGTGGCGACGAGTTAAAGCCTTGTGATATGGGGTCCCATGCCCCCCAGCACATACAATTGGAAAGGACCAGAAGCATTACACCTGATAGCCCCACAGGTACCTTAAACTCAAAAATCCCACATGTGCCTCCCTTGTGAAATTGCATTTGCACCCAGCCGAGTAATCAAGCAAGAGAGAAGCACCCTTGGTGCTGCCTCTCTTTATGCTCTATGTTAAAAATCTGTCTACCATCATGGTAATTTCAAATTACGCAATATTTCTTCTGTTCCTTCTGTTCCTTGTGTCACTGATTTACTCCTAGGCCCTTACTAAATTGCTTACTTTTGCATTTAACAACTAAATATATACTGAGGACATACCCTGACATGTTAATTCTGTGCTAGTTCTGGGGTGAAGAGAGAGAAGATAGACATAGGTGGCTTAATTTGGGGATATTGGAAGGAAAGATATGGACACAAGTGGTTATGTAGGGAATAAATTCCATAGTACATGGAATACCTAAGAAGATCTGTCTGAAAGATGCTATATCATAGACCATTCACTTTCTTTTGATTTTAAAGGTTTATTTAAATGAAAGGCAGAGTTACAGAGAGGGAGAGAGAGGGAGAGAGGGAGGAAAGGGGAGTCAGAGACAGATAGATTGATCTTCCTTAGGCTAGTTCACTCCCCAAATGACTGCAATGGCTGGACCTAGGCCAGGCTGAAGCCAAGAACCTGGAAATCCCACTATGTGTCTGCCAGGTGGGTGCCTGGGGCCCATGTACTTGAGCCATCTCCTGCTGCTTTCTAGGTGGATTATCAGGGATCTAGGTTGGAAGTGCAGTAGCCAGGACTCAAAGTGGCTCATATATAGGATGCAGGAGTCACAGGTGACAGCTTAACCCACTAAGCCACACCACTGGCCTTGACTATTCACCTTCTATTCGTCATTTGGCTGATGTCTGGTTAATTGTCACTCTTTTAGGGATTCTCTATTAGACCTCATGCCTGTGTAAGTAACCTATATGTCTTCATAGATTTCTCACTTTTTCTTAGATTGCTTGACTACACAACAGCACTGGATTAGTTATCTAGTATTAATCTAGTTTTCTGGTTATTTTCTGTCAAACTGTAAATTCTTGGAGCAAAGGTACCATGCCTGGGTTATTTATTGAATTCTTAGGTGCTAAGAAAATATTATTAGAAAAAAGTGGTGCCACATTCCTCTGGCACTGAATGAAAGATTTCATTAAAGAATTGACTTTGAGTGAACTTTTAATAGACGTTATACTGAACATAAATTTCTAATAGAGGTTAGAATTTTGGTGGAATTATAAATTTTCCACTTAGAAGAGTGACAGTGGCAAAGTAAAAGCAAAATTGATGGTGTGGAACAATGAAATAATATACCAAGAGCTGTAGACAGTTTGCTGTATCTTGGGCATTATCTTTTGGGAAAGAGATATGGAAAATCAGGATGAGAATTTAGAGAGGATGGGAATTTAGAGAGACTAGGAAAGCAAATACCTCACATGTTTTTCAGAGAAATATGAATTTTATCCTATGTGCTGTAAGTTGCATTTACTACCTAGGTAACACTAAGTAATATATTTAGTTAAAATTTTTAAGTCTGAAGTTTCCTCATCTATAAAGTTGTGATTACAGTGCCTACAGTTATTTTTAATATTTATTTATTTATTTTAAAGACTTACAGAAGACAGAGAGAGAGAGAGAGAGAGAGAGAGAGGTTTCCATCTGCTGGTTCACTCCCCAGATGACCACAATAGCCAGAGCTGGGCTGATCTGAAGCCAGGAGCCAGGTCCCAGGAGATTCTTCAGTCTCTCATGTAGGTACAGGGGCCCAAGGACTTGGGCCATCTACTGCCTCCCCAGGCCATAGCAGAGAGATGGATCAGAAGTGGAGCAGCTGGGACTTGAACCAGCACCCATATGGGATGTCAGCACTGCAGGCAGTGGCTTAACTTGCTATGCCATAGCACCAGACCCAGCTTGTAGTGATTTTGAGGATTAAATATATCTGTATAAATGCTTAGAAAAAGCCCATAATAACCATTCAATATAAACTGACTAGTTTTCTATCATCAAAGTTTTATCTTCATTATTGCTAAATATATGAGAGCTATAAGAGAATCTTAAAGCAGTTACATGATAAAATCATACATTTTAGA